AACACTAAATTTACTGAGCTCAGTATGGCTAGCTATCAGAGAGATGCAAATTAAAACCATAATGAGATACCACTTCACACCAGTCAGAATGGCCATCATAAACAAAGCAACAAACAACAAGTGTTGGAGAGGTTATGGAGAAAAGGGAGCCCTAGTGCACTGTTAGTAGGATTGCAGACTGGTACAACCACTATGGAAAACAGTATGGAATTTTCTCAGAAAACTAAAAATGGAACTGTCTTTCGACCTAGCAATTCCACTACTAGGATTATATCCTAAGAACCCTGAAACACCAATCCAAAAGAACCTATGCACCCCAATGTTCATAGCAGCACAATTTACAATAGCCAAGTGTTGGAAGCAACCTAGATGCCCATCAGTAAATGAATGGATCAAAAAACTATGGTACATTTACACAATGGAATTCTATGCAGCAGAAAGAAAGAAGGAGCTCCTACCCTTTGCAACAGCATGGATGGAAATGGAAAGCATTATGCTAAGTGAAATAAGCCAGGCAGTGAAAGACAAATACCATATGATCTCACCTTTAACAGGAACCTAATCAACAAAACAAACAAGCAAGCAAAATACAACCAAAGACACTGAAATAGACAATAGACTGACAGTGACCATAGGAAAGAGGGGAGGGAATTTCAGGGGGAAAGGTGAGGGGTTTACAGGAACAAGTATAAAGGACACATGGACAAAAACTAGGGAGGTGGAAATGGGAGGGAGGTAGGGAGGGCTGAGGGGTGGGCTGGGGTGGGAGTAAAAGACAGAAAACTGTACTTGACAACAATTAAAACAAAAACAAATGAAAAAAATTGAAAAAAATAAAAAATAAGCTCATGCAGGTATTTTATTTCTATTATGTGGTAAATATACTTCATTTAATAAATGAGTACCTACAATATGGTAAGCAAAGTTCTAAGCAATGGAGCTATAACAGCTAAATATCAAGTCCTTTCTCTCATAAAGCCTACATTCAAGCCAAGACACAATGCACATAAATACATAGCACAATGTTAGGTAGTGAAAAGTGCTATGAAGAAAAAAAAAGCAAGATAAATACTCATGGAGTGTAGAGAAAGGATCACTATTTACATAGAGTGACCAGGAAAGGGCCCTTTAGGGAGATGATAGTCAATATGAGAAAAGAAAACAGTGAGTCCTGCACATATCAGGGAAAAGCCTCCAAAAGGAAAAAGCAGCAAGGTAAACAGCCTCAACCTAGCAATGAAGTTGGCATATTTCAGGAATGGCAAGCAGGCCAACATGAATACAATTTGGCAAATGAAGATATAAAATAAAGTTGGAGAGGTAAGCAGGAGTCAGATCACATAGGGCTTGATAATTACTTCTATTTTTTCCCCTGGGTATTCTTTTTTTATTTTTTTTTTATTTTTACAAAAAAATGTAGGAGGTGCCCTGGCTAGTGTAGCTTAGTGGATTGAGTGTGGGCTGTGAACCAGGCATCGCAGGTTCGATTCCCAGTCAGGGCACATGCCTAGGTTGCAGGCCACGGCCCCCAGCAACCACACATTGATGCCTCTCTCTCTCTCTCTCTCTCTCTCTCTCGCCTTCCCTTCCCTCTCTAAAAATAAATAAAATAAATAAAAATCTTTAAAAATATGAAAAAAAATATAGGAAGTATGTGTTAAAGTGGATTGTTCCAAAAAGATGTATGATAGTGCTGGGGGTCTTTTCTTCCTGCTAGAGCAGCATCTGAGTGTTTTAGGGAGAGACATTGAAGCAAAAGAAAAGCAGGCAAACAAAATGAGAGCATGGTAGCCCAAGCAGATGACAAACCAAACTGTGAAGTAAGCAAATGGCACACACATTCAGCTAGCGGGCCACAAATTTATTAATCCAGTTTTATAGCTGCTTTGCAATAGACACAAAGTATTATGTGTCCATTTTGGAGATGAGAAAAGCTAGGTGACACAACACATAAATACTGGGGTCAGGAATAATTCCAGATATTCCCAATATCATTGAATGTCTATAATCTATTTTCATGCAACCTGTGTCCAAATATGGGTGTATTTCAAGTTCTTCTTTTTTAATACTGTGTTGCCTCAAAACTAGCCTGAAACAGTATAAAACAAAATGAAACTGAACCAATGCTTCTACAAAGAAACCTCCCTAGGAGGCAGCTATGGAGAAAAAGTACTTTTTCTAATAAGTACTATTTCTAATAAGTACTTTTCTAATATTTTTTCTAGTAAGTGTTTTTCTAGTAAGTACTAGTATTTTAATCTTTTGTTTTTAAACAGTTATTACTAGCAAAATATTTCTTTTAGCCTGATAACCCTAAATTTGGAAATTAATTCTACTTACCATTCATTTTCTTTTCTATGTTTTGAAGCTATGTCATTTAATAATATATTTGCAAAGGCTCTTGCTTTATTTGTTAGGCCTGTCTTCAAATCTTCACAATCCAAACGAACCATAGGGAAATGAACCCACTGAGGCAAAAGCATTATTTCTGAGGCAAGACTGAGAAATCTTCCTACAAGCTTAAAAAAATGTTATAATAAAAAAATGCTTAGCATTTTAATTCATCAGTGTTTTGTATAGTATTATGGTTAACTTCTTAATTATATAATATAAATACAAACTCATTTCTTTTTGCTTAGTGATTAAAATTTTCTCTTTGTGTGCATAAATCTTTTTTTCACCTGTCCTTTCACTAAGAAATTTGCCAGTCTACCAGTAAATATCCAATATGGTGCTATTTACAGCATTAATATCTAAAAATTTCAGAATGTAAAATTTCCCTCAGTAATTATTGATATTAAAAAAAGCATCCCCAAAAGTCAACTCATCTCTCTGTTTAGAAACAAATCTATATCATGTGGCAATTTGTGTAGCTGACAAATACTTGTTTGTGCCATTATTGATGCCTCACTGAAAATTCGAATTCAATCTTCAGAAAAACAAATATGTATAAAGAACTTTTTGGTTTTGGTCAATATAACCCAGGAGAAAAACACTGTGTTCTGCCATTACAAAGATTCCAAATATTTAAACTTATACATTCTTAATAACCAGATACTGGGATAGTTTTTCAAAATTAAACAAAGAAGTATGGAAAAAAAACTAACAAGTTATGTTGCATTTTTTTAAACTAAAACATACCTACCAACTTTGGGCAACTTTGACTTAATTCCACAATCCATCTTTAACGTTGCCTCTCTACCTTCTTACTCACCCAATATCTACCCACTACCAAAGAGCCCCATTTCTTTTTTTAAGTCCTTAAAGAGACTTTCCCTTTACTTCCCTTTCTCTCAAAGCTACCCTATTTTTCTGCCTCCAGTATTTTGTGGGTTGGGCTTAAAGCTTTCAGTGTTTAAGGGAGCTGAGAATATTAATTAATTCAAGGACAATTGAACACCTGTTTGGTTCTTGGTTGGAAAAATACCAGACAGTATATAGAGCTGATGGCACTGGAAAATAGAAAATAGATGTTTTCTTATTCTCAAGTAATCATCCAGGTTTTCTGGGATGTAATTAATAGATGTGGAAAAGAAAATGAGCTGGATCAAAAAAAAATATGGCACATTGGAAACAATGAAAATATTCATTTACAGTAGAAAAAAATAATATATCACTACAATGAAGTGTTATGCTATAATAAACTACAACTATATGCAAAAATGGTATATAAACCACAATTACAGTATACCTAGCATTGATAAAGAAATGCAGGGATATATTACTAAACCTAAAAGTAAATTTTTAAACAGTTAAATAAATCATCCACAAATTATAATATTCCAGAAAATACTAGACCTAAGGAAAAAATCATTGTAAACCCCAATGAAACATATGTTCAACCTAGAGATTTAAGGTGTGTAGATAGTATAAGTTATGGCAAAGACCACAAAAAGTTTAGCTGTTAGCTCATAGAACACTTATTGTGCCTACTTTCTACACAGCATTATATTAAGATACATGGTAAAACACAAGTAAAAGAGAATATACCATATCTTGTTTTGCAAATTATGAATTTATGAATTCATAATATAGTTTTATAAACACATAAAACTGAAATAAGGTACAAAGTATGCACATTAGAATACATATCAATCTCAATAGAGGCAGAAGAAGCATTTAGGAAAATTCAACCCTTATGTTAACAACACTTCACAGACTAGGAATAGAAGATAACAACCTCAATTTGATAAGGGGTGTCTAGGATAAATCTAAAACTGACATTATACTTAATGGTTTTAATGCTTTCCCTAAGATCTAGAGTAAGATAAAGATATCTTCTCTCAACCCTTCCACTCAATATTGAACTAACCAGGACAATTAGGCAAGAAAAATAAATAAGAGGCATCCATATTAAAAATTAAGAAGTATTTGTCTTTCACCGATTGGCTTATCTCACTTAGTATAATAGTCTCCAGTTCCATCCATGCTGTCGCAAAGGATAAGAATTCTGTCTTCTTTCTTTCTGCTGCATAGTATTCCATTGTGTAGATGAACTACAATTTTTTAATCCATTTATCTACTTATGGGTATTTAGGCTGTTTCTGACACTAGGCTATTGTAAATAGTGCTGCATCAGGGTGCATAAGTTCTTTTGAATTAGTGTTCCAGGATTCTTAGGGATAATACTTATAAGAGGAATCTAATGAACAAAATAAACTAATGTCCCTGGTTCTAAGCAAAACAGAACCATAGACATGGAAATGGGAACAGACTGACAACTGCTAGAGGAAAAGGGGCAGAGGAATGGTAGTAAGAAAGGTAAGAAAGTAGTCAAAGAACATGTATGAATGATCCATGGACGTGGACAATAGGTGAGGAGGGACTATGGGAGCAGGGGTTGAGGAGGGCAAAGGGGATAAAATTGGGACAACTATAATAAACAAGAATAAAGTTAAAAATGAAGAAGGCAATATCTATTTGCAAATAACATGATATTGCATAGAGAAAATCCTAATGATATACACAAATACACATAAAACAATAAGAATTATTAAGCAGTGCTCACTTCAGCAGCATATATACTAAAATTGGAACAATACAGAGAAGATTAGCATGGCTCCTGCAAAAGGATTACATGCAAATTTGTGAAGCATTCCATATTTTTTTCACTTTGTTACTCCAAAGACCTTGCATGGTATTGTTTATTTTTTTATTACTATTTTTCAATATTTTTACTTCTTTTATTTTATTAGTATTTTTTATTTCTCTTCTTTCTGTTTAGTTTTCATCATTTTGTTTGTTTAATTGCACTGTTTGACTGGTTTTCCTTGTTCTCTCTTTCATAGTGTATTTTAATTTTCCTTCTTTGACTTCACTTGTGTTCCAATAGCACACAACTCTAGGTTGTGTCATGTACATTCTATTTTTGTTATTCAGATTATATAGATTCTGTCATATGATTGTCAGTCCAGTATTATTGTAAATACGTGTTGTTCCATACAATTTTAAATACTACACAGCACCCCCCCTGGATCTCATAATCTGACCTCTCATGAGCTCACTGTTTTCTGAATTTAACTCACAATCCTTTCCCCCTCTAACAAGCCTTATCCTTTTCCAACCCTTCCTAAAAAGTTGATAGTTGGGTGAAATATCACAGTTAACAATATAGTTATCTAAAGGGTCTCCTATCTCTTCTCTATGGGTTGGTACTTTAAATTCCATAGAATACACTCCTGCTGTCTTAATGCATTTTGCCGTCCCCCTCCAAATAACCACCTAAAAGAGTAGGTGGGAACTGTGAACACCAGTGTACCTGCTGGAAGAGAACCCACCAACAAAGGAACCACCAACAGATAATAAAGGAAGATGAATGAGTGAATGGAAGCCACACTAACCACCACCCAGGACCAATCTGAAATGATAACTAAATGATGGAGAAATTACCCAGAACAAATGACTGAACAATACTGAGAGAGAAGCCTCAAAACATCAGACAGACAGAAGAACCAGCTTTGACACAACCTGTCTGCACTGGCACAACAGTACACAAGACATGGTGGGTGCAGTGACCCTTAGTTAACCAGCTGGAGGGGAAGACCCACCAAAGAAAGACCCAACAACAATCAAAACCCAAAGACAAACACAGAGTCAACTTAAATGACAGGCGAAGACTAGTGAGCTCCAGAGATCAAGGAGACAGCACCACTGAATCTCACAGGTATTCTACCATAGAAGTTCACACCATAAACCCAGGGAGTCAGAACAGATTGATTTAAGAAGCTGAGGCTAACAAGAAGAATCTCACAAACAATGGGAAAACAAAAAACAAATCCCAAATGAAAAGAAAGGAAGAATCCTCAGGAAGAATGCTAAATATAACAGAGGGAAGTCAACTATCAGATATTGAGTTCAGAGCAATGGTTATAAGGAAGCTCAATGAGCTCACTGAGAATTACCAAAAACTGCAGGAAACTATGATGTAATCACTGCAAACTATATCAGCATGAAAAAGGAAACAGAAACTATCAACAAGGGCCAAGAGGAAATGAAGAATACAATTTCTGAATTGAAGAATATGGTAGAAGGAACCAAAAGCAGGCTAGATGAAGCAGAGGATCGAATCAGTGAGCTGGAAGAAAAGATAGAAAAAAAAAACACCCAGAAACAGCAAGAAAAAGAAAAAAGACTCAGAAATAATGAAGAGGTGTTAAGGGAACTGCAGCACAATGTAAAACATAATAATATCCAAATAATACAGATACCAGGAGAAGGAGACGAGACAGGGATAGAAAACCTGTTTGGAAAAGGTACTGATGGAGAACTTTCCTAATTGGATGAGAGAAAAAGTTACATAATGCAGGAAACACAGAGTCCTAACCAAGAGGAATGTAAAGAGGCCCACTTCAAGACACATCATAATTGAAATGCCAAGTTTCAGAGACAAAGAGCACATCTTAACAGCAGCAAGGGAGAAACAGGAAGTAACATACAAAGAAACACTGATAAGACTAGTTCCTGACTTGTCTCAATGGAAACACTACAAGCCAGAAGGGACTGGAAAGGAATAGTCCAGGTAACGAAAAACAAAGGCCTGCAACCAAGGCTATTCTATCTAGCAAGGCTCTCAATTAAAATAGGAGGCCAAATAAAGAGATTTCCAGATAAAAGAAGTCTCAAATAATACACTTCATCCAAACCAGCACCGCAAGAAATGTTCAAGGGACTGCTTTAAGAAAAGGAAGAAAAAGTGTGAGAGAGAGAGGAATACAGGTACAAAGAAAGTAAAATGGCAATGAATAAATATGTATCAATAATAACATTCAACTTAAATGTATTAAATGATCCAATTAAAAGACATAGGGTAGCTGTGAATGGATAAGAAAACATGACCTACACATAGGCTGCTTACAAGAGACCCACCTCAGAACAAAACACCTACACAGACTAATGTGACAGGTTGGAAAAATTTTCCAAGCAAATGGACAGGGAAAAAGCAGGGGTACCAATTGTCATATCAGACAAAATAAACTTCAAAACAAAGGCCATAAAAAGAGACCCAGAAGGTCACTTCATAATACTCTAGGAAAGAATCCATCAAGAAGACATAAACATTATAAGCATATATACACCCACCAGAGGAGCACCCAAATATATAAGAAAAATTTTAGAGGACTTCAAGAAAGATATTGACAGAAGCACAATTATAGTAGGGGATTTTAACACCTCACTGTCAAAAACGAATAGATCTTCTAAACAAAATATTAACAAAGATATTGTGGCATTGGACAATGTCCTAGATAAAATAGACTTAACTGATAGATATAGAGCCTTTCATCCCAAAGAAGCAAAATACACATTCTTGTCAAATGCACATGCAACATTTTCAAAGATAGACCACATGAGAGGATGCAAAACCAACATCAACAAATTCAAGACAATTGAAATCATATCAAGTATTTTCCTGGACCACAAGGGACTGAAACCAGAAACCAGAAACCTCAAGGAAAAAAACTCAAAAACATTCACATTCATGGAGATTGAATGGCATGCTATTAAACAATGAATGAATTAAGTATGAGATCAAGGAAGAAATCAAAAACTTTCTGGAAACAAATGAAAATGAACTCACAACAGTCCAAAACGTATGGGAAACAGCAAAGGTAGTCCTGAGAGGGAAGTTCTTAGCCATACAGGCCTACCTAGAAAACATAGAAACATTTCAAATAAACAACCTAACCTTACCTCTACAAAAACTGGGGGAACAACAACAAACAAAGCCCAGAGCAAGTAGAAGGAAGGAAATGACCTAGATCAGAGCAGAATTAAATGACATAGACACTAAAAGCACAATTCTAAGGATCAATAAATCCAGGAGTTGGTTCTTTGAAAAAATAAACAAAATCAACAAGCCTTTAAGCAGACTCATCAAGAAAAAAAGAGGGAGGACCCAAATAAACACAATCAGAAATGAAAGAGGAGAGATTGCAACTGATACCACAGAAATATAAAGGATTGTAAGAAATTACTATGAAAAAATGAATGCCAAGAAATTTGAAAACCTAGGTGAAACGGACAAATTTCTAGAAAAATATAATCTTCCAAAACTCAATGAAGAAGCAGAAAGCCTGAACAGACCAATAAGAGCTGACAAAATCGAAGCAGTAATCAAAAAATTCCTGACACACAAAAGCCCTGGACCAGATGGTTTCACAGGAGAATTCTGCAAAGCATTTAAGGAAGGGCTAACCCCTATCCTTCACAGACTATTCCAAAAAATCCAAGAAGACAGAAGCCTCCCAAACCCTTTTTATGAAGCCAGCATCATCCTAATCCCAAAACCAGATAAAGACACAAAAAAGAAAGAAAACTACAGGCCAATATCACTGATGGACATAGACACCAAAATCCTCAACAAAATATTGGCAAACTGCATCCAACAATACATAAAAAAAGGTCATACACCATGACCAAGTGGGATTCATCCCAGGGATACATGGAAGTTACAATATTCAGAAATCAATTAACGTAATACATTACACAAACAAAAGCAAAGACAAAAATCACATGATCATATCAATAGATGCAGAAAATGCATTTGATAAGGTACAGCACCCATTTATAATAAAAACACTCAGCAAAGTGGGAAAAAGAGAGCATTCCTCAACATAATAAAGGCCACATAGGAGAGACCTACAGCCAACATTATACTCAATGGGCAAAAACTAAAATCTTTTCCACTAAGATCAGGAACTAGACAAGGTTGTGCAGTTTCACCACTTCTATTCAACATAGTATTGGAAGTTTTAGCCACAGCAATCAGACAGGAAAAGGAAATAAAAGACATCCAAATTGGAAAAGAGAAAACAAAAACTGTCATTGTTTGCAGATGACATGATAGTGTACACAGAAAATCCTATAGACTCTGCCAAAAGACTGCTTAATATAATACATGAATTTGACAAAACAGCAGGATACAAAGTCAATATCCAGAAATCAAAGGCATTTTTGTATACCAACAATGAAACAGCAGAAGCAGAAATGGGGGAGGGGGGAATCCCATTTGATATAGCAACAAGAAGAATTAAATGCCTAGGAATAAATCTAATAACCAAGGAGGTAAAAGACCTGTACTCAGAAAACTACATAACACTGAAGAAAGAAACCAAGGAAGACACAAACAAATGGAAACATATACTGTGTTCATGGATCAGAAGAATTAACATCATCAAAATGTCCATACTACCTAAATCAATTTACACATTCAATGCAATACTTATTAAAGTACCAATGGCATATTTCACAGACAGAACAAACACTTCAAAAATTTATATGGAACTATAAATGACCCCCAAATAGCTGCTGCAATTTTGAGAAAGAAGAACAAAGTAGGAGGGACCACAATACCTGATGCTAAACTGTATTACAAGGCCACTGTAATCAAAATAGCCTGGTACTGGCATAAAAACAGTCACATAGGCTAATGGAATAAAACAGATATCCAAGAAATAAGCCCAAGTCTCTACAGTCAATTAATATTCAACAAAGGGAGCAGCAACATAAAATGGAGCAAAAATAGCCTCTTCAACAAATGGTGTTGGGAGAACTGGGCAGCTACGTGCAAAAAAAACGAAACTCGAGCACCAACTTACACCATACAGAAAA